CCCCCCCCCTTACAAAGGTACACAAGGCTGATCTGGGGAGTGGGCGTGAATAGCATTTGCGACGTTGATGTTTGTCTTGGGACAGGTGCATGCGATTATGGAGTTCTGGCTCCGGCGCAAGCTGCGCGAGTGTCGAAACACGGCGTACGTCCAGACCGTCCGCTCGCGGGGGAAACCAGCCGATTGGTGGGGAGAGTACGTCGAAGAGTTCTCCAACCCTCCCACGCAAAAGGCCATCAAGGACGCAAAGAAGCAAGGCTGGTACCTCAAGCTCGCCAGTCCCCTCGTGCGGTTCATCGTGCTCAAGGTGTTCTTGCTCCCGATCGACTTTGTGCCGTTCTTCGGTATGGCGCTCGGTGCAGCTTTGCGGTCGCTCTCGTACGGGCGGCAGTTGCACACGTCGCTGTTCGAGGCGAAACGCATGTCGCCGCTCCAGATCGAGCTGTGGATCACCGAGCGTCAGACGGCGTATCGCTCGTTCGGCTTTGCAGCCGCGCTGATGGAGCGCATCCCGCTCGTCGGCATGGTCTTTTCGATTTCGAACCGGATCGGTGCCGCAATGTGGGCACACGACCTCGAAAAGCGTCAACAACGCATCCGTGCCTCCTCGCTCTCGTCTGGTGCCCAGCTGGAGGAGTTCAAGACAAAGCCTACGCTCAAGAAGATCTACAAGCAAGTGCAGGCGGGCGACGAGGTGCAAGAGGCACAGTTTAATGGTGAGGGGCTGGCGGTGCTACGTGCGCATAGGGGGCTGGCGATGTTTACACATCTCTCGTTTACGTTTCCGCTCAAACTCATCAGCCCAGCCGCGAGTTCCCGGATCGCTTCACTAGCCAGCACCAAGGCCGTCGCCGCTCTGTACATCGTCGGGTATGGCGGCGGCTTGGTTTCGGGCGACAGCGTTGAGCTTGATATCGACGTGGGGCAGGGGGCTTGTGCGGTGGTGCTGACACAGGGAAGCACCAAGGTTTTCAAGACCAGAGCCACTGCGCCGACGCAGCACGTTAGCACCATGCACACTGCAAGCCTCGATTCCACCAGCGCTGCGGGGGCGGGGGCGGGGGTGGGGGGGATGACAAGACAGGTGTATCGGTATCTGATCCGGCCCGAGGCAACGCTCGTGTTGCTACCGGATCCAGTGACGTGTTTTGCAGCCGCGCGGTATGACCAGGTGCAGCGATTTGATCTTCGTTCGGATACCTCGTCGCTCGTCATGCTCGACTGGATCACGCCCGGTCGAACTGCGGTCTGCCACCCTCCTTCTGGCGTGCGCGTTTCGGCGTTGGATTCGTTTCCCGAAGCGCAAAGCGGCGCGCAGATGAAGGACTACACCACCCCACCGCGGCTGCCCGAGCGGTGGAAGTTCGACTCGTACCGGTCGCGCAACGAGGTGCGCCTCCGCACCCGCTCGACCGCGCGCGACGTGCTGCTGCTCGAACAGCACCCCGATCGAGACCACGGCCCTGAGGGCGTGGGATGGACGGAGCTCGCGAGACGCAACTATCCCTACGACACCTACGCTACACTTTTCCTCGCCGGACCCGATGCGCAGCCGCTCATCGACGCGCTCAGCGCCGAGTTCGAACCGATCCAGATTCGACCTGCCACCGTGCATCCGCCTGTGGTATGGTCGCTCAGTACGGTGGAGGATGGACCGCCGCAGCTTGTAGTGGTTCGGATCGCGGCCGCGTCGGCTGCGGATGTAAGGGAGTGGCTGCGTCCGCGTCTAGCGCCGTTGGAAAGCGTCGTCGGTCGAGATCTGTTGAAACAGGCAATCTGAAGCGCAACTTGAACGGTGTGCACACAGACTGTGCACCATGCGCGTGTTCCCAACTGAGTTTGCAAAGAGGTGGTTGGTTTGGCATTGGCACGCTTTCTATCGTTTGGCACGTTTGGGGGCCTCCCACTTTGCGCCGAGTCCCAATCCGAGCGGTTGCGCCGATGGTGGCGCGGTTGGTACGGGCTGCACCTCTACCTCTGCCATCTGGGTTTCGGGCCAGTGCGTAGCCCACACATCCTTCCTCCTCTTGACCGGCCCTTGGGCCAGGCCTACCTTGCGCAACCGCTCTAGCCTCCTGAGTCCGATTCCGGCTGTCAAGAGCACGGCGCCGAAAGCGACGCCGCTGACGCCGGCAAAGGCCCAATCGAGTTCCTCCATGTGCGACTTGAGATTCATCCCGAACAACCCCGCCCACAACGTGCCTGCGCTGATGCCCATCGTAGCAATGCTGGTTTTAAGGTCGAGAGCGAGCAGTTTGTTTCGGTTGTTGTCCAGGATGAGTTCGACCACTTCCTGGGTATTGCTCATGTCCGAGTGGAGTTGCGTCGTTTCGGCAACGACCTCCTCGACTTGTTTGTCGAAGGATTCGAGCAGCAGTTCGAGCTGGTCCATTCCTTCGCTATCGCCAGAGGCGGTGGAGGAGAGGTACATGAGCTGCATGTCTTCGTCGTTCTCCAACACCTCCACCACCGCATTCTTGACCGCCTTGGCCCTGCTCAAAAACGCGTTCAACTTGCGCGAGACCTGCAGCAGCGTTCGAAGCTTTTCGCGATCCACATCATCATCCAACTCCTCCAACACTCCCGACGTCCATCCTCTAACCACCCCGAGCTCGATTCGAAGTGCATCGAGCACCGAGACGAGGATGCTTTCGAGTGCACGGAATTCGTACGCCAGTCCGTTTCCCGATGGATGGTGCGGACGCAGATTGTGTTGGAGGTTGTAGACGAACGCCGAGTGGAGCTGCGAATCGGTGCTGCCGTAGCTATCGAACAAGAGCACCTTGTCCTTCTTCACCATGGCACGGATGTGCAGGATATTGACCAGGATCCCCCCACGACGCGCAAGGATGGTGGGCACCAAGTTGGGCACGCGCGAGTCGATCTTGCGCAGATCGCGATGCTCCAGCCCATGCTCGGCGCACAGCCGCGACTTTTTAAACACACCCGACGTCGACGTCGTCGAGCCCGTCGAGTCGAAGATCGTACAGCGCAGCATAATGTCTGGCGAGAGCTGCGTCGTTCCTAGTCCTCCAAAGTTCGGTGGTGGTGTGGAGGCCGCGGCGGCGGGGGGTGGTGGTGGTGCAGAAGGCCCCGCAGAGGTGCGTGGTCGAGTAGGTGGTGGCTCGTGGGATGCCGAGGTGGTGTGTAGATGCCGTAATGTGGTTAGCGGCGGTGTGAGTGTGTGGCGCCCTTGGCTGATGAGCGTGCGTGTGCGCATGATCGCACGCATCGTTGCTCGATTCCCCAACACCAGTTCGTCAGCGATGGTGGCCGCTACTAGAGAGGAGCGAGAGAAGCGGCGAGGAGCTCCACTTTTTTGGGTCAAAGCCTCGGAAGTCGGATCTGGAAACCCTCGCTCCACCATCTCGATGCCCGCAACCCACTCGCAGCTCAAAGCGGTCAGAGGGACATTCAGAGCGCTTCACCTCGCACCAATGCAGACCAAGCTTCTGGCGAGAGTGTGTGGCGAGAGTGCCAGCCGCGATCGGTGTTGTGCCTTGCTCGACTCCACACACCGCAACATTGTGAGCCGGACTCGCTCTCCCGGACCAAAGATTGCCATTTGAAATCCCCTCTTGACAGCTCGACCATCAACAGATGAGCCTCAACAATCGACGCCGCGCTTCGGCCCGAGTAGTGAGCCACAAGCACTCGTGGACTTCAAGTTGGTCGAGTTTGGCGCACCTCATCGACACTGTTAGAGCGACTCAGCCAGCCGCTTTGTCGACCAGCCACTTGTCAACACCGTCTCGAATGCCGCCATGTGACCCGTGGTCACGATGCTTTACGATCGCTTAGAGAGTCCAAGATGGTGTGTCCCCAAAACGAACGTGTCTGAGCATGCGACACAGGTCCGAGGCGTGGCTGAAACGAGTCGCATCCAACAACGTTGTCATCGAAAAAGTCATCATCAGCGCGAGCCCCTAATCGCCCATTCCCGGAGCCTGTTGAGACCTCTGCGGGATTTGGGATGGAACGTCCAACCGCATCATCTCAATAGCTCAAGCCGTGAGAGTGCTGCTGCTAGACGTGGCGTGTTCGAAACGCGCTGGTATTAGACGATGCACTACTGTCCCGCTTCATGCGAGGCACTGCTCTTACCCGCCGCCGAGAACCCCGACGTATCCGGGTCGAACCACTCGAGTTCACCTCCACCCTGGGCGGGGAGAGCATCTTCAAACTCCACCTCGTCCTCTCCCTCCTCCTTGTCTTTCTCCTCTGCGTCGTTCTCCTCCTTTGCGTCGGCGGCGGCGGGAGCCGGCGCGAGGACGGTCGTATCTGCCGCCGCCGAAGTATCTGCGCGCACCGTCGTTGAGGCCGAGATGGAAGCAGACGGCGTATGCGTTGCGCTCGAGGCGGTTTGCGAGAGCGATGGCGACGACTGTGCGGGCGATCCCTCCTCGACCGCCGCCGATCCAGGTGGAAGCGGTGCATCGCGACCGGACCGTCGATCTCTCCTCCTCGTCGGCCTGAACGCGCTGCTCGTCGCCACCTCGCTGCCCTCTTCTCCGCCCTGCAGCTTCGCCAGCATGGCCGCAGCCACATCGGACGGGTTACCCTTCTCCCCCGCCACCCCTGCCCCAGAGCCGAGCGTCGAGTCTTCCGACCCACCCCCCGCATTGGACGCCGCATTGGTCTGTCTCCTCTCCCTCGCCTTGCGTCGCTGCTTATTCGGCCCCCCGCCTCCACTTCGCAATGATCCAAGCAGGGTTTCGAGCACCGCGCTATCGTCCACACCCGCCTCCTTCCTTGCGAGCGCCTCCTGCCGTTCGCGCTCGCGCTCCTCGGCCGCCGCCCTCCGCTTGGCCTCCAGCGCCCGCTGCTCGCCAATGCGCACATTGTCCAGCTTCACCTTCTTGTACGCCGCGAGGAACTCCTTGAAGATGCCGAAAAAGTCTTCCGTCCGCATCGTCTGGTTGGCCAGTTGGCCCAGCCCGCGCTTCTTGGGATCCGGGCCTTCGCCAAAGTACTTGAGAGCCTCGTTGTACACGCGCTCGGCAAACTGAACCTGGTCGTTGAGCCTCTGCAGCTCCGAAGCCGCATCGTTCAGGAACGGCAGCATGATCTTGACGTACGGATCCTGCAGGTTCTCTTCGTCCTCATCCAGCAATCGGTCGAGCTCCTTGCGGTGCTGAAAGCTGCCCGATTTGAGCTCGGCCAGATCGCGTCGCAAGTCCCACAGCTGAACGCGGCACGCTTCGGCAGGTAGCTCGAGCTCGTCCATAAACGCCTCGACCTCGGGGAAGCAGCGCGAGATGGTGCGCTCGATAAAGTGGAGCAGCGTCGTGCCGTCCGACGCCTTGGTGTCGACGAGCTTGTTGATCGACGTGATCTTGAAGCCGAACGCGCCGCCCTGGACGCCGGTCGAGTTGAGGTAGTTGCCCATCATGAGCACAAGGCTCAGCAGACGCGCAAACGACTTGGCCTTCATGAGGCCCTCGGACGCATCGCGCACCTTGACCGTGCCGCCCTTGATGAGGTCGAACGTCTCCTTGTACCGCGTCATGTACAACAACCCCTTGACCTTTTCCTTGAGATGCGGCACCGTCATCAACAGCACTACCAGGCGGTCGGCAGGATGCAACAGCCTTAGCTCCTCGTCCGACGCATTGCGGTACTCGCCCAGCTGCCCCTTGGTCTCGGACTCGGGATAGTGGCGCAGCAGCTCCGTGAGGAAGCTCTGGTCGAGCACCGCGTCGTTGCAGTTGATAATGTGGTGCGCCACCTCCTCGGGCGACGCCTGCTTGCTCTCGGTCAGGCTCGACTTGACGCGCTTGAGCACCATCTCGATGCCCTGGCGCGTCTGCAGGCTCAGGTGCGTCTTGAGCTCGATCTTGTCCTTCTTGGCCATCGCAGCCGACTTTTTCACCGGCTGCTTCGCCTTGAAGTCCTCCTCCATCTCGTCGAACAGGCCCTCCTGCTGCAGCTGCCGCACGATCTGCTCCTCGTCCGCCGTCAGCTCGTGCTGCCCAAAGATCGTCTCGGCCGCATGCTGCGGCGACAGCTTGTCCCACTGCAGCTGCTTCATCTTGCTGCGCGCCATCGCCAGCACCTCTTTGCGGCTCAGCGCGTGGTTGACAAACAGCCCCGCCACGCCCGGCGCCGGCGGCGCTGCAACGGGACCCGCGGGCCCGAGGTTCATCGGCGCATACGACGCGCGCACATTCATCATCGAGTTGCGGAAGAGGCCGTCCTGCATGGGCGACTCGTGCACCGACCCCGGCGGCGGCGGCGCGGGCGGCGCTGGTGTGCCGCCCACCGAGGCGAGCATCGATCCGGGCCGCGACGATTCGGGCGTGGAGAAGGCGGAGCGCATGCCTGGCGCGGGCGGCGGAGGCGGTGGTGGCGGTGGTGGCGGTGGCATGGCCGCTGCATCTCGCATCGCCTTGTCCGGTCCACCCGGTGCCAACGCGGGCAGCAGCATCGCAGGCGGCGGCGGCGGAGGGGGCGGAGGCGGTGGTGGCGGAGGCAGCGCTGCGACACCGCCCGACGGCGAGGTCGACACGATCTCGGGCACCGCGCCCGCCTCTGCGACACTGGCGAGCGCGCTGGGCTTCTTTTTGCCCCTGCCGGCGAGCAGCTCGTCGTCCGAGTCCGAGTCGTCGTCGCCGCGCTGGCGGCGGATCTCGTCGAGGAGCGTGCGCACGGCGGGGTGCGAGGTGCGCTTCACACCGGCGGCGGCGGCGGCATGGGGCGTGGGAGCCTGTACCTTGCGACGGCGCGACTCGCGTGCATCCACCATGCGCGATGCCAGGTCGGTGTTCTGCGCCATGCCCGCTGCGAGCGTCGCCTGGATCTTCCACTTGGCCGCCTCGGGATCCAACGACTCCTCGTCCGGTCCCTCGGCGTCCTCCTCCTCCTCCTCCTCGTCTCCGGCTTGCTCGTCGGCCGCGCGCAGCAGTGCAGACTGACGACGCACCGACGCCGAGATGCGCTTGCGATCGTCTTCGGTCGGCACCCCGGGCACCCCGGGTACGGGCGGCACACTCGGCGCGCCCGCCTTGTTCTTGCGCGCATTCGCCTCGAGCTTGCGGATGGTCTTGTTGCGTTCGAGCTGCTTCTCGAGCGTGTCGACGAGCTGTTTGCGGTCGAGGCTGCCCTTGCCCGGCGCGGCGACGTCGCTGACGTCCATCTGGGCCTCGCGCAGCATATCGTACAGCTCGCGGATCTGGATCTCGAGCGCAACGACGCGGTCGATGTAGGCCTTTTCCATCTCGTCCATCTCGTCGCGCGCGGCACCGGCATTGCCGCGCGCGAGCGACAGATCGTCCTCGAGCTTCTCGATCTGCTCCTGCAGCTTGCCGATGAGCCCGTCGGAGGACTGCTTGAGCTTGGCCTCGAGCTCGAGCTTCTCCTGCTCGAGCGCGGTGGCTTTGGCCTTGGCCTTTTGGAGTTCGGACTGCATCGAGTTGATGTGGTCCTGGTCTGCGAAGCGCGAGAGGACGTTGTTGACCGAGACGCCGAGGAGGGAGGAGAGGTCGTTGCCCTCGACGGCGCCCTTGCGGTCCATGACGACCGAGGTGACCATCGAGTCGATGAGCTGGTAGTAGTGCACGAGGTCGTCGCCGTCGCGGCGGATGAGCAGCAGATGCTGCAGCGCCGAGAGGAAAAAGTCGTAGGCGCGCGAGCCCTCGACCTTGCCGACGATGGCGCGGAAGACGTCGACGGGGTCGCTCAAGTCGGTGAGCACTTCTTTGTTGAACGTCTCGACGACGTCTTCGTGGTCCGCTTCGGCGCCCTTTTCAAAGACGCCGATCTGCAGGTCGAGGTCCGGGTTCTTGAAGGCGCGCATCTTGATGAGGATGCGCTGGAGGCCGCTCGCCTCCATCTGGTTGCGCAGATGCACGCGCACCTCGAACTCGGGCACGATGTCCGAGTTGAGGATGGCGTTGATGAGAAACATGTTGTTGATCGCATACTCGTTGAGGCTCGACTCGTGCGGGCCGACCACGCTGAGCTTTTTCACTTCGTCCGAGGCGCCGACCATGGAGCCCATCTTTCCGCGTCCGTCGATGGTCTGTTCGAGCACGCGGAACCAGGCGTCGAAGCGTCCGTGGTCGCCCTGGCTCGACTTGAGGTCGTCGAACGCCTTGAGCACGAGGCGGTGGCCCGTGGGCTTGTCCCAGTGGCACAAAAAGAGCAGGATGTCGGCGGCCTGCTTGCGCGTGGCGAGCTGGAGCGAGATCATGGAGTGGGTGATGCCGCTGATGCACTTTGGCTGTGCGAGCGCATCGTTGGCGCCCGGCTTGGAGTTGAAGAGCGAGCGAAAGGCCTTGAGCACCTCGTACTCGAGCGCGAGGTCGTTGTCCGACTTGATGCCCTTGGCGTGGAGGCCGCTGAGGAAGCTTGCGAGGACGGGCGTGCCCTTTGCCTCGACGAAGCTCTGGATCCAGCCGATGGCGCAGGTGCGCAGCGTGACGGCGAGCGACTCGATGTGCTTGGTGGTGACGGTGCCGTCCATGAACTTTTTGATGAACCACTCGGGCGAGTTGCGCGTGATGACGAGGCCGGAGGCTGCGCCTGCCGGGCCGCCCGCACCGGCGGCGTGGTGGCGACGGTTGCGGTCGCGTTCCTTTTCGGCGTGCCACTCGGTGAGCTTGTCGTTGTAGACGAGCGTCCACTTTTTGTCCACGCTGAAGCCGAGCATGTTGCGGCGCGCGGTCTCCTTGAGCTCGTCCGAGAGGTTGCCGCCGGGGACGTTGAGGAAGTCGCGCTTGTCCATGAGTTCGGCAAAGAGGCGCTCGACGTCGGCGTCGGGTGGACGCTGGAGGACAAAGTCGGGCGCCTTGGCGCTGTTGGCTGCTGACGGTTGGTAGGAGTCTCTGCCGAGGCTCGTGTGGCCGAGGCTCGAGTGGCTGGTGCTGGTGCTGGGGAATGCCGATTCGGGGTTGGCGGTGGAGGCGACGGACATTCTGGTGAGCACTTCGTGTGGGAGGTTGGCGCCGCCGTTGTAGCGGATGGAGGCGGAGTCGTGGGCGATGCCTGCGCTGGTGGTGGAGGTGTAGCGCGACGAGCGGGCGCCATTCTGGCCTGGGAACGACGAGGAGCTGGAGTGCATCGAGTCGTGCGTGCTGAGTGCATGGCGCGAGGATGAGGCACCCGACAGCTGACGACGATGTGCGCCGAGGCCGCTGGACGAGATTGTCGATCCATTTGCATGCGAGATGATGGAAGCCGACGAGGGTTCGTACTGGTAGTTGGCGTCCGAGTAAGCGCTGGAGCGATGCACGCCGGCGCCGAGGCTAGGATTGCCTGACGGATTGCCAATCGAAAGCTTGGAGCTGTTTGGGCTTGGGTTTGAATAGTATGCTGCAGCAGCCGACGAGGACGCCGACGAGGAGGCTGCGAGTGCGCCATCGACATGAACGGGCGTGCGGCCGCTGACGGTGCGTTCGTAGGGGATGGCCTTGTCCGCGGCGTCCGAGTTGAACTGGCGCGAGCGCTTCTTTCGGCCAAAGATCGAGTCCATGCTGGCGGGATGATGTGGGTGTCAGAGCGATCGAGCCATTGGGCAGCCGCAGCAGCAGCAGAAGCAGCAGCAGAGGCGCGCTATCGATCGATCGATCGGTTGATCCGACGCGATTGCAAAGAGAACGACGATGGCGATTCAGTGCGCAGCCATGGAGGGCGAATGATGGCGACGAATGGCGACCGTTGGCAACGACACTGAGATAGCGGTACTTGGAGTATGAAGATGGTGGTGGAGCAAGCCAGCTGCCGACGACCAAGGTGCAGATGAAGGCCTATCTCGGACCCTCAGGGTTCTCCGCTGCCGCTTTGGCGCGTGAGCTGGGATGCGTCGGTGTTGGGCGGCGGCGGCGGCGTGTTGCGTGTGTCTTTTTTTTTCCGCTTTTCTCGCCTTTTCTCGCCTTTTTCTGCCCTTTTTTGGCCTACTTTAGGCAGCCGTGCGCGCGCGTCGGCCACAAAGGGTCCGTGACGTGGATCGTCCTCTCTACACCAGCGACCCGCTTTCCACCACCACTCTCAGCCACATCTGGAGGTCGCTTTGAGGAGGCTCGAGCACCGTTTGCGTGTTGGCAGAGTGTGGTTGAAACCGGGCTGAGACACACACGCACATGGGAAAGTGCGTTTCGGTTTCTTTTTTCCACCTCCGACGCCCGCCTCTTTTCCGGACAGCGACGCGCCTCTTTCCGCCCGCCCCTCGCCCGCCCGAATCCGGCCAACTTTCGACGCGATCCCCTTTACGCACATGCACACGCACCCGCACACGCACAAAGGGAGAGCCCGCCGCCAGCAAAGCACCTTTTTCATCGCTCTAACATTGTCCATCTTTTCGCACCCTCATCCCCTCGGCTTTGTGAACGCATACCGTGGTGAATGGGAGACACTGTTGATGATGGAGATTGGACTTGCGCACCCGCTGTGGTGAGAGGAAGAAACACAGAAGATGGTGGAGATCGGCGAATGGTCGAGACTACTGATGATGGAGATTGGCTTTTTTCTCGGCACGCTCGGCTTTGCTCACGCTACTGTGGTGAGAGTGAGAGACTGATGATGGCGGAGATTGGCGAATGCTCGAGACTGATGATGATGATGGAGATCGTATTGATGATGGATGGCATTCTTCCCCGACACGCCCAATGAGCGCCATTCGATGATCGAGATCAAACTACATGGGGTCTCGCAAGAAACGCGGTATTCCACCCCGTCAGAGCGTTGCGCAATCCTTCCGGCAGGACGTCATTACACTGCTGCATGGCCTGTATCGTCCACTGCGCGATCGACTCCGGCAGATCCACCCGCTCGCTGTCATCGCTATCACCGTTCGCGGGCGGGCGGTACAGCACACGATACCCCTTCCAAACACACTCTGCCGCGTTGTGGGAGGAAGCCCAGTGTCGAGTGAGCGAAGTGGTGTACTGCGCGCGAGAAAACAACCACGCTTCAACCCCCACCGCTTCAACCCCCACCGCTTCAACCCCCACCGAGCATGAGGAGGAGGAAGGGGTGGAGGAGAGGTGGAAGCGTCGTGCACCGTGCGAAGCCGCCGCATACTGCAACGTTGCTAACAACACCCCCACCCAGCTCTCATCCTCGCCGACAAGGGAGATCAGGTACTTGCTAAGTCGAACCGTGGTCCCGTCCACCGTGCCCAGTGGGCTACTGCATGTAGAACAACAAACCTGTGGAGGAAAAAAGGTGTCAGTATGTGCGTGAGTCGGGTAGATGCAAAGCTGAAGAGCCTACACAGCATGCAGGTGTTCTGTTCATACCGATCCACTATCCTCTCCCCCCCATCCCCCCACGTTGAAAATGCAAGAAGGTGCCCGCCATCACCGAACACTTTTCCAAAGGCGGTATTTGCATCACACCCCCCCTACATCCCCAACAGCGAACGAGACGGGCAGGAAAGGGTTGATCTTGGACAAGCGGTGTATCAATCGAACCTTCTCCATGGCATACACCCCGCAAAGGAGGTGCGGAGAATCGACTTTCTAATTCCGGTCCGTTGGTCCATAAGCCACTTACCTGCGATCCATCCACATCGACTTGAAGCACTGACTGTGGCGCAGAGATGTACGTGTCCCCAACCCAGACAACCCGAGCCG